CCCACACCCGCCCGTTCCACCTGCTGACAGGGCCCCTGTTGGGTTCAGGTCTCTGTTCCTCGTAGAAAACAGTCAAACCCAGCGTGGAGGCGTGTCCGGGCCGGGATCGGCCTCGGGAGGCACGTGAGCGTGGTGGTCTGCTTATCAGCATCCGCTGGGCCTGTGCTCTTAGGGTGTCACCTTAAACTCTACAAGACTCACAAAATGTGGAATGTGCTTTGTGTTTTACGCTATAATCACCAAGATTGTGTATTTGTAGGCTAGGTTCCTAAGAAGGAAATTCAGCCAAATGATTGTTTTGTTTACGCTTACATTGATTTGTCCACCGTCACGCCTACTTACTATTCTTATCTTTGTGACCGGTCTGTAAGGGCCCTTCAGATATTAAGGACATCTTTTTGGGGAGGTGTTTTTCAATGCAAAGGACAAACATTTCGTCACATGTCTTTGGCTGTTGCCTGCGGGGTTCCTGCCTTACAGAAGCCAGAGTTTTATAGACGCTAATGTATGGGACGGTTTATGCCTTCCTCTCCCCAACATTATTGTCAATTTACGGTTTCATTTGGTGTTTATAGTGATTTCATATTTTCATAGAAAACCTCTGATCTACCTTGAATTTATTTGTGAATTAAAAAAAAATAGGATAGGGATTCGGGAATCAGTTGGTTTGGGGGGGTGAGAGAGAGGGAGACAGATATTTTCTCAGTCATCAGCCTTTGGGAAAATCGTTTCTATCCTACTTAGAGCTGTGTCACAATTCCAACGTGAATTCACTGCAGATGAGACACAGAAATGCTGAGTCGGTTGGCGTATTGAGTTCCAGCTTTGCCGTGGCTCTCACTGCTTCCCGCACTGAACAACCTGAGGAGCCACCCCCTTTGAAACATCTACGATTTTGCTTCGGGGACTTGGTTGTGCGAGGACATTCTGATTCGTTTAAACAACGGAATTGCTTTCAAGATTATTCCATTGCACAGATCTGTTCCTGTTGTAGAGACGATGTGTTTGGTTGGCCTGGGACACACCCCGGCATCCGAGATGCTCACACGTAAAGGGCGCATTCCCTCCTCAGGCCTCCAGCCTCGACGGGTGGGTCCTCTGCAGCATCTCCCCCCACCCCCTGCACCTTTCTGCTGGGCCCTATCGCTGGGTCCCCGTTCCCCCGCGACTTCCCTTGACCTCCAGATCGACCCCGGTTTTCTCCCTAAAATCCCACGCGGCTCATCCACATCCTCGCTTCCTCTGTGTGAGGCCGCTGTCCCCACGGCCTGTGGCCTGTGAGGGAGGCCAGGCTACAAGCCCTCCGCTGGCGGCCGTCCCTCTGGAAGGATCTCCTCGTGCATAAATCTTTCAGGACAAATATGCAGACAGTGTGATCACCTGGGGCCAGTGACGTCACAGGGACCACCCCATGTGGAACTTCCCCCGCCCCCCCAACACTCCCACGCAGGGACAGTGAGCACCGAAAGCCACCCTGAAGGAGAAGAGACCAGAGGCCACGGAGGGCAGCTGAGAGGAGAGGCTGAGAAAGGAGAGGCTGCAGAGAAGAGGCTGCAGAGGAGAGGCTGGAGAGGAGAGGCTGAGAGAGGAGAGGCTGAGAGAGGAGAGGCTGCAGAGGAGAGGCTGGAGAGGAGAGGCTGAGAGAGGAGAGGCTGAGAGAGGAGAGGCTGCAGAGGAGAGGCTGGAGAGGAGAGGCTGAGAGAGGGGAGGCTGGAGAAGAGAGGCTGAGAGAGGAGAGCGTCAAGCAGCGGCCACTCCAGGAGCACGGGAGACCCCGTGTGCCGACCTCTCGGGGTGCTCTCCTGTAGCCATCCCCTATGCAAGACCCTGGGCTCACCCGCTAACCTCCCACCCACCGCGGTCACTCCATGTTTGCTTGGGGAGGAGTAAAGGACTCGCTCCCGTGCTGCTAAACCCAAAGGTGGTGGGGAGGGAAAATGCCTGTGTAATCAGAAGACAATGAACATGCAAAGTGCGTTCTGATTAAAAGTTAATGTGGACGAAGATAAAACAAATTTCCCTCCACTCCACCCTCACCACCATCATTCCTCCACAGGGGGGCTTAGAGCAGCGGTTCTCAACCTGTGGGCCGCGACCCCTTTGGCGGCCAAACGACCCTTTCACAGGGGTCGCCTAAGACCATCCTGCATATCAGATATTTACATGACGATTCATAACAGTAGCAACATTACAGTTATGAAGTAGCAAGGAAAATAATTTTATGGTTGGGTCACAACATGAGGAACTGTATTTAAAGGGCCAGGAGGTTGAGAACCACTGGCATAGAGCTTCTCCGAGGTATTTAACGGTACGTAGCCAGCCCGGCCGGCGTGGCTCAGTGGTTGAGCATCAACCTATGAACCAGGAGGTCATGGTTCAGAGCACAGGCCCAGGTTGCAGGCTTGATCCCTAGTGTGGGACCTGCAGGAGGCAGCCCAACCATGATTCTCTCTCATCACTGATGTTTCTATCTCTCCCTCTCCCTTCCACTCTGAAATCAATAAAAATGGTGTGCAGGAGGCAGCTGATTGATGACTCTCTCTCATCACTGATGTTTCTATCTCTCCCTCCTTCTCCCTTCCTCTCTGAAATCAATAAAAACATATTTCTTAAAAACGTACATAGCCAATGTGCCATAGGCCCCAACCCAGCGTCCTGCATCGAGGTCAAGTTCAAAGCCGTGGTCTGAGTCAAGGGCACACGCGTTCCTGCCATCTGCTCTCAGGCTCACCACCTTAAGGCGTCCCCAGGGAGGGAGGACAGCTGCCATCTGAAGCAGGATTTGCATTTTCCTGGTCCCTTCCGACATAATGTCATCACACAGCAGCCCAGCAGCCCTCCCCTCTCCAATGTTCAGAGCTGCCACAGTCTCACCATAATTGTCAACAGAGTCATTTATCAAATCCGCTAAATCATTAATGGACAGAAGTCAAGGCGAAGGTCGTGGCCATACAGGCGGGGCCTGGGGGAATTCTGCCTGATCCCGACCTCACAGGCCGGGCTGGGGGGGCTGGGCAGCCCCGAGGTCTGGGAAACGTTGGTGTCAGGAGACTTTCTCAAAGGCGGCGGAGAGGGAGAGGAGGGCTCAGAAGACAGCTGCCCTGCCGTCGAGCCCACAGAGCTGTGCGCAGACGCGCTGTGGGGGAGCCGGGCGGGACTGGGGGTTTGTTTGTTTGTCAGTTGGTTTGGTTCTAGCTTCCGTCCCCGTGGGCTGATACAGTTATGCCACACAACACAATGCACAGACACATTCCATTAAACACACAGGCAGGCAGAGCACATCCCTATTTCATGACCAGATTGAACAGATGTTAAATTGCATTTCATTCAGTAAAATTAATCCGCATAGAGCTGTATAACTTCTTCCAAACTCCGGCTCCCAGCCCTCGTCTTGCCCCAGACGGTCATGAGCAGGTCACGGGCAGGCACGGGTCTGGGGCCACCGGAAGGACAGGGCTTTGGCGGGCGTGGCTGTCGGGGGCAGGAGTCTGGGCCGGAGAGAGAAGCTGCCCCGGGGAGAGAGCCAATGTGGCCCTTGGGCTTCCAGGCCGCTGCTCCACGGGCCTCCTGGCACACAGGAAGGCCCGGGAGGAGGGATGGAAGCCAGGCCGCAAGGCAGCATCTCTGAGAGCAGCCAATGAGGAAACAGAGCAGCTCAG